ACACTGGAGGATCAGCCACAACAATATCACTCCATTGATCTCATATCAGAGTCGGGCCTCACAACATATGGATCCCAGAGTCTTTCATCCCCAGGCACATCTCTGGGCACTGAAATGAGTATGATGGTGATACTCGGGTACATACTTGATGCATGGGGCAGTATTACAGCAAGATAAGCAGATGCATTTTCGTTTTCATACACAAGGGCAAGGATAACCCATACCTGTATACATTATGTGATTTAAGTTTTTAGTTTTAGCCTTGTCATTGATGAAAGTGAGGCGCACCCATAGAAATGAATATATAAATCCTGACTCAATGAAAAGTGTAAAAACTCGTTGTACTCTGAACTTCCTGGAGGATGTACCATGGCCAACAAATTTCCTGTTGGTTAATGTTGAGTGGACATGAGTTTTCATGAAGTCTTGTGTATCACCATGATTTATATCCAATCAGAAGAGTGACCATAATATTTGTTGACAATAACGCTATTGGGAGGATTATGGGAGCAAATTCAGCTCTTTGCTGAAACAGTGGAAATAAGGATGTCAAACTCACAATGTAGTTATTCTCACATTCTGAAACATAACTGCAACTATGATATCAACTATTGCCAAAACTGAAAGTGAATAGTTAATGATTATAAATGCAAATGATAAGTTCCTCTTACTGACCAATGGTATTCACAAGGCACAGAAAGAGTATGCAACGGAGGATAAATTGATCTTTGAACAGGATCAGTGCTCTCCAAACTACCATTGAGTCACCAAGAATATACTATGTCGTGGTATTGAAGTAAAAGATATCTCAAGGAAAATCATAAACACTTACTTACAGTGATTCGGGAAAATGTAATTGAAATAGTATAGGATCTGGTAGGTGTAGACTTCTCAGAGACTGCTGCTATGTTGATCGATAAGTCATTGGAAAAAATTATAGATGAGCAGAGCAACATTGTCACCATAACTAAAACCAGAGAGCATCGAGTGACAGAATTTTGCAATCCCTTTGCACTTTTCGGTGGTCAGTGAGCTCGTCAGATGCAGATTGAAATAAAATTACATGAGAATGTGGCATGCAGAAAAAGTGAGAACCAGTTCCACTCCTGATTCAAGAAGCTGAATTCCACAATGGTTTGTCTCATGGATAGTAATTGATATCGTACCAAATAGGAGACCATCTACTACTTCAGTCTTGATGACGAGGGCATTCATATCACGAGGCATGGCCAATAGTATGGGCTTAGATGGATTGAAACCTTGTCTTTAAGTACTTCGGGTCTATAGAATATCTTGGGCAAATGATGAAACAAACATTCTAAAATGGTCCTCTTACATGTGCTCACTAGGTAATCTTGTGTCGACTGAGCTGCACAGTGAACTGCTACCTAGAGTAGATATGCTGATAATCAGATTGAACAGATGCCGGTTATTTTCGGACTTCTGAGCGACATTACGAATTCGGAGGGACCAGGCTACAGGAAGTCGTATATTTGACAGTTGGTCCCACCAAACTTCAGCACCTTGAAAACACGATCATTGATTAGTCTGTGCCAAGTCAGGAACTTGGTATGAAAGATCGGAAAAACCCATGATTTTAATGTGTCTGATCCGCGTTCTGTCGCAATGAGTCTGACTCGTTGATTTGCATATGCTCGAGTTGAAAGAGATCATGATCACCGTACTGTATATGATATGCAGTGATCATCCTCCAGCTGCAAACGAAACGCGTTGTAAGCAAAGTGGCAAAGATCACTTGCACCCACGTGGGTGGAGAAAGATAAGACGCGGCTGCGCGGCAACATTTCGTCAAAATTTGTAAAGGCGGTGTCGTCATGGTTTGAAGAGGCCGTCGTGTCCTTATCCTTCTGTACTTACTACTTGCTTGTTCTCTTTCATCATCACTTTCAACTTTCCCTTTCTCTTCGTTCACAGGCTACTCAACTCATCTCCCAATCTACCCTATCTACACGACTTCTAGACTCTTCCCAGACGCGATATCACCAACAACTGGCTCACTTTATAATCTTCACCGAGTTGGACACTCGAGGACCAAGACAGCTCAGACACTCCTGCTAACGCTCTATCCACGCCAAATGAAGATGAACATGACAATGAGGTATATCCTCGTTGTGCTGGGGGCCATAGTGAGTAATTCTCTCATTTTACATCTTGTCTGGGTTTCTCTCTACGTCAAGTTTCTATCGAGAACAGTGACGGAGTATTTGTTGGGGTTTTACGGTCACTGTCAAGGTCATGGGTCATTGGGCTGTTCGGGCGACGAGCATGACTGGACACGGGGATGCAGAAGTGCTCGACCTGGAATCAGGGCCCGATGCAAACCGCAGCGGATGTGAATGAAGCTGTCGAGCGGAAGCGGCTCTGAGGACCTTTCCCGCGTACACGCGCATGCGCAGTCACAAGCAAGTGGAGAATCACGAAGCTTTGTTCAGACCGGGCTGCTTCTCGGCGCAAACTCGGGGGTATAGGTGGAGATTGACATGCTGGATGGTGGACATCGACAACCGGGTCAATAGGAAGGCGCGTAGCCCTGGAGCATGTCATGGTCACTCCCGGCTCTGGTGTTTTCTTTTGATCGTCTCACCGTGATGTCGATCCAGGTGGAGCAGGAATTGTTGGGCGGCGGCTGTTCGTGATTGGATTTAGTTCGGTGGAGTCGGTTATGAGACGACGGTTTCCAGTCTCGAGGGCGATGAAAAGTGATGCAGGCCCAGGCGAGCGAACGGGAGGGGAAAGTCCGGGTTCTATTTTTGCATCCAGCACGCAGCAACCCTGGAATTGGTGATGTTGGGCGGTACACAGTTTCATGGACTGATGGAAGGCATGTCGCGGACGTGCATCCTTGCATAGAACCTGTTCTGACGTTCTGGCTTGACCTTGTAACTTTCCTTTGTTCTACTTTTGATCTCTGCTTTTGTTGCCCTTTGAGTACCGCATAACTAACGTTCCCCTTCAGCTCACTTTACACTACATCTTAACACTCACACACTCTTCCTACTCTGAAGCGACATCTCTATCTTCCATAACTTCACATTTCCGAGGATCCTCAAATAATGAACCAGGTACGTCCTTTTGCAGTTTACCCAACTTGAGCCCTGGCTAACGATTATGCACTTCCTTACCTTCATCGTCCAGAAAAAACCACCCCCGATTCCCGTCCTTTCCCCGACGATGAAACCCTTTCCAACAACGGAACTCTTGTATACGACCGTCGTGCCAATGCTACATTCGTCATCCTTGCTCGCAACTCTGACGTTGACGGTACTGTGAGGAGTATTCGAGAAGTTGAAGATCGTTTCAACAGACATTGGAGGTATCCTTATGTCTTGTTGAATGACGTTGAGTGGGATCCAAAGGTTAAGGAGTGAGTGTCTTTGAGCGTGCTTTTGGAGCGTCTTGACGCGTCTGACTATCTTGTGCTAGACGGCTTTCTGTATTGACATCCTCGCGTATGGAATTTGGTGTAATTCCTCGGGATGACTGGGTCCAGCCAGGTTGGATAGATGAGGAGAAAGCTACTGCTGTGAGTGTTGTCGCTAAACTCGTTCTCTGCTTCGTGTATTCGCATTACCTGTGTTCTTATGCTACCTCTTTTCAGGGGCGAAACAAGATGGTTCAAGAAAACGTAATCTATGGAGGAAGCGTGAGCTATAGGAATATGTGTCGGTTTAACAGCGGTGTTAGTGTCTGCTTTTCTCTGTGTTATCCACCACGTTCTACTCCATTGTTCTTTCTTCAATGCACTGACCACCTTTCCCTTTACAGTTCTTCTTCCGCCATCCTCTCGTACAGAGATACCGCTGGTACTGGCGTATAGAGCCCGACGTGCATTTCCACTGCGACCTCAACTTTGACCCCTTTGTATGGATGGAGGAGAAGGAGAAGGCCTATGCATTCACAATTGCTATGTATGAGTTTGAAAAAACGATTCCAACACTCTGGAGGGAGACTATGGGTGAGTCTCAGTCTCTCATGTCTGCCCCTGCAACTGCTTACTCTTCACGATCCCAGACTTCCTCAAACTCCACCCTGAATACGTCGCAGAAGATAATGCCATGGGTTTTTTGAGCGAGAACGGAGGAGAGACGTATAACCTCTGCCATTGTGAGCTCTACGTCGCTTGCCCTTTCCTCTAAATGAAACTAACCTGCTTCCCTAGTCTGGTCAAACTTTGAAATCGCCGACATGGACTTTTGGCGCTCGAAAGCTTACATGGATTACTTTGAGTATCTGGACAAGAAGGGTGGATTTTATTACGAAGTGAGTCTACACTATTGCGTGCGTTAACACCTAAATACTAACCAGCTTGCTCCTAACAGCGTTGGGGCGACGCTCCCGTCCATTCCCTCGCAGCCGCCCTTTTCCTACCAAAGGGTAAGATCCAATTCTTCGACGAGATTGGATACGAACACAACCCATACACGCATTGTCCGCAAAATGAGGAAACGTGGAAGAAAGGCAGGTGTTCATGTGCGAGAGAAAGGAGTTTTGGTGAGTGTTTCGTCTATCTATCCAACTCTGGGTCTATGGCTGACATTGATCTCCTATAACAGACTACGACGGCTACTCATGCATGAGTAAATGGGACCGTATCCAATAATCACGACAAGCTCTCCAGCATTCATGTTCTCACTTGCCAAACTAACAAGTATTTCATGCCGATCTGCAAACTCATAGAGCCTGGAACCGAAACGAGGCAAGACGAGGAGTTGGTTACCTGGCGAAGCATTACATTGTATGTGGCGAAAGTGGATAAAGGTGGAAGGGCAGACGAGTCTCCAAAGGTGTATTTGTGCTTGCGCGCATTTATATAAGTGTGTTTCCTACAAGTTATGGGTGATACACAACCATTTTTTTTGCTTGTATCTTTGCTTTCGACCTTCGTTACCTAGACCTAATGCTATATAATTTACTTTGCAATCTAAGTATTATTATTCGAAGCCCTTGCCTCGATAGCTTTGCAACACAATTTTGTGCCTGGCCGCGTAGCGTAATGGTTAACGCGCTAGTTTCCGGTGATCGGATTAGCTAGAGATTGTGAGTTCGAGTCTCACCGTGGTCGCTGGGTGGATCGCTGAAAGTTCCATTTTGACGTGGAATGGAGTTCTAGTGTAAATGTTTGTCCTCTAGATAAAGTTACCAGTGCTACGTCTTCCACCTTTTTTAAGTTGCCAAGCCTATTATCTCTTTGAATGTAGTGTGGCTCCCCGCGTGGAGAAGGATTATTTTCATCTAATGGGAAAAAGAAGTACGACTACTGTGAGAATTGAGGCGCATACATACTTATCATAGGGGATTTGGTTTATCGACGCTTTGAATTCCTCCTACATTCACCATGTTGTTTGCCTCCAACAGAGCCGCTACAGCGACATCGAGAACCGAAAGCATCTCTTCTCCAGCTCAAATGGACTTAGAAAGCGGAAAGTCACCAATAGAAAAAGATGACAAGGAGACGATGACAGAAGTGGTAGATAGCCCACCGACAGAATCAAGCGTTCGTCTACGAGATGGAGTTCAACGCAGATTGAGTCAGCGACATATACAAATGTGCGTTCAGCTCTACATGTTACTTTCCAACCTCTGTCTGACTATAGTGACCGCCCCTCTTTCCTTCGAACCTACGCGTACATACTCTTATCTCTACAGGATAGCGGTAAGCTGAACACCTGACAGCAAATGCTATATCTATTCAACTTTGACAGATTGCGGGAACCATTGGAACTGGACTGTTCCTGGGGTCCGGTGGCGCTTTGCATAGTGCCGGACCGCTTGGAGCTCTATTGGCATATCTTATTGTTGGTTCAGTTGGCTATTCGTAGGTCCATCGAGTTGCTTGTTCAGGCATTTTTGACTCAATATACATAGCATGATATGTTCATTGGGGGAAATGACTACTTTTGCCCCTATCTCGGGGACTTTTCCGCACTATGGTAAGCTACGCCGTTCTAGATGATCAATGACTTTCAATTGATTTTTGATGTAACTTAGCTGAAAGATGGGTTGATCCCGCTCTTGGATTTGCAGTGGGATGGGTCAATTTTTAGGGGCTCTTACCTTTTCCATCTTAATCTCATGACTTTCTTCCACAGAACTATTTTTACCAGGTTGCGTAAGTGATCCGTAGCTTTGAATTTGTGTCGGCATAAATTTACCTTGGACAAGGATATCCCTTCCGACAGAGATCACTGCTGCAACGATTCTCCTTACTTTCTGGGATGAAAATGTAGGTTTACTACCAGTCTCTGTTGAATTTGTTGATAAATAGTTTGATAGATTAATAACCAGAAGATATACACTGCAGTAAGAACCTTTTGATGCATTTTGATTGCTGTCTCAGCGATCACTGTAGGTCATTAGTATCGCAGTAATAGCAGTTAACATTTTTGGTGTACGGTAAGTGGGTTCCATTATTAAGATTGACGTTGGCTCACTTTCCCAACAGTTCTTTTGGGGAATGTAGGTCTCATTTCGTCTGTCAAGAATTAGAATTTGAGTACCAGATCAGCAGAGTTTATCTTTTCCATAATAAAGAGTAAGTATTCATTGCTATAATTGAACCCAAGAAATTTATCTTTTTCAAAAGTATCGTTGATCATTGCTTTACTTATTGCTGGCCTTGTAATCGATCTGGGTGGGGGACCTTCCGGAGAGCGCATTGGGTTTCGTGTAAGTTTTAAATATCTGAACTAGACTCTAAAAAAAAACACATTTTTTCTAGTATTGGCGAGACCCAGGTCCCTTCAATCGTGCAGGTCTCGTGGAAAGTAACATAGCGACAGACCGATTTCTTGCGTTCGTTCAAGTTTTTGTACAAGCCGCATTCTCGTTTGCAGGATTGGAGGCAATTGCAATGTAAGCTCTCGCATCCTCATGTAACGAATTGAATTTTAGAATAGCAAATCATTAGTGCTGCTTCTGAAACGGAGAACCCTCGTCGGAATGTTGCAAAAGCAGTAGGAAGGGTATTTTGGAGAATATTGATCTTCTATGTTAGTGTCTAACGTACTCTTCGTTCATGAGTGAATCTAATGACCTGCACAGGTCTTTGGAATCTTGATGATCGGCATGTTGGTTGCATACGATGATCCCGCACTTTTAACAGGCAAGTATATCTTTCAAGTTGTCGAGTCCTCTTCAATTGATGTTGTAAAATGATACTATCCAGACACGGGAAATGCAGCTCAGTCTCCCTTTGTCATTGCAATGAACCGTGCTGGAGTGAGAAGTACGCTGTTTTCTTCCAAGAGTTGATGGGCTTCACCTGACTATATTATGTCCACCTTTAGTATTTCCCCACATCATCAACGCTGCCATCTTTACCAGTGCATTCTCTGCGGGAAACACGTCAGTATACTCTTCCTCCCGAATCTTGTACGGGTTAGCTCTTCGCAGACAGGCACCGAAATTTCTCACCTATTGTACGAAGAATGGCCTCCCTTTGGCCGCTGTTCTAGTCAGCGTAGGTGGCATTCACTATACTTGGGTCTTGTGAGTCTGATGGTGACCTTGTTATAGTCTTCCTTTGCATTCCTTTCTTTCATGCGCGTCTCCAAAGGGTCTGAAGGGGTCTTTGAATGGCTGGTTAATATCGTGACGATCGGTTCCCTCCTTAGCTGGCTCACGATCAACGTCACGTTCCTGTTCTTCCGTTGCGTCCCTTTTTCTCTGCATATAGATCCAAGAATTCTAAAAAATCAATATTAGGTCGAGGCATGCTAGCCCAAGGATTGGACATGCATAAAAACGTCTATCATAATAAATATCAACCTTGGCTGGCCTGGTGGGGTGTTCTATGGCTAACGATATTCATCCTTATCAACGGATTTACGGTTTTCTTCGAATGGAGTACGACGGACTTCTTGGTTGCTTGTAAGTCCCGGGGCGTGAAAGATGTCAATATAAGTACTGATCAACGTCTACTATGCCGCTCTTCAGATATAAATCTACCAGCATTTGCCATGCTTTACTTTGGGTACAAAATAACGATGCGAACAAAGATTTGGAGCCCGCATGAAATGGACTTTATTACGGTAAGCCGATGTGCTGTGAATACCACTAAATCATTGAACATTATCACAGGCCATACCATCAATTGAAGAAACTGAGAAACCAGCAACCGAAATCAATCCGATCACATTAGGAGGGAAACTGTTAGCCGCTTTGTTTTAGTTTTACTTGACTGCACCAAGTGTACTATTATTGGACTATTAGGGGGGACATTACTTGCATTGTGTGTATGATTTTTCTCTGTGGTGGGGTAAGTTTCGTTTTAAGACAGGAGGAAGAGTTTGATGGCGGTACCTTTTTCTAATATGAATTCTTGGTGGAAGGCGGTGGACGTCAAATCTTGTTTTTAGGAGTGCTAGGGACGAAGTAAAGGAGTGCCGCCATTAAAGATGTCGTTCAAGCCGCCGGTGTGCACGGGAGCTTTTTTTTTTCAACCGTACCGCCGGCATCAGGCAAAAAAATTCCATTCATGTTATTGTGCTATCCTGTCGCTTGTATCATGGAGAGGAAGCGCTCGTTCCATCGAGCTTCAGAGTGGCATCTGCATTCTCTCTCCGTTTGATTCTTACAACGGTCTTGCAAGAGTCGTAGCATGATCGCGGGAGCAAAATGTCTATACATTTCGATCATAAACATATGTTCATTGTGTCTCTGATTTTGAGACTGATAAAATTAATTAGGTCTCACCCGTTTTGTCCTTGTTACAAAAGGTATATATATAAGGGGAGTAGATCCGCCAGACAAAACACAAACACATTCCACCAGCTCATCGTGCAAAAATGAGTTCTCAGCCCGCTGGTATCGAGATGACATTTGGTAAATCATCTTAATTTCTTCTTGAGCTTCTCAATTCTAACACCACTTGTCCGTAAGGCATGCTCTTCATTGGATGCACCTTCAATGCCTGGCTTTTCGGAATTGCGTGCTTCCAGTACGGTCGCTATATCTCAATGAGTATGATTTTATCCTACTGCTTCTTTCCGTTGGCGTTAACATATTTCGAAGAGTCCATCAGAGCTAACGACTCTATCTTTATTCACATTATGGTGGCACTTTTGCTTATTTGCGATCTGGTCTATACTTGCGGCGTTATCTGGATGGTTTGGGAGTACTTGTATGCACCGAATGATAATGAACATGCGCAAAAAACTAACATGCTTTCTTTTTGCTTTAGAGTTGTTAACTATGCAAATCCTTCCGCCCTTACGAGTACGTCATCTTTACATTGCACGAATTTTCTAGTGCTTATTTTTATACTTTAGAGTGCGTCTGGGCAGTAAGTAGGCTGTTATCAGTCTCCTTGTTAATACTCAAACCATTGCCACCAGTACGCTCTAAACCCCTTCTTTGGATCAGTCCAAGCATATCTGTTCCATTCCTTCCTAATCTGGAGGTACGTCAACATTTCAACCGTACATCGTATCCATTATTAACCCTGAGTTGGCAGAATCCACCGCCTAACAAAAAAAGTTTACATTAGTCTTCCCCTCTTTATTGCTGCTACTTGCTCCTTCGGTTTGGGAATAGGTCTTACGATTCAAGTGGCACACATTTCTTTGCACGTTTTGTTCTTTCCTGATCGCTGCTAGCGCTCATAATTACATCCTCTAGATTCACGAAATTTGCCGACGCTTTACCAACCGCTACGTCCTGGGTTGCAGTCCAATTTGCCATGGATCTGGTATTGGCTGCTCTTGTTACCTTCACTCTGCAGCGAGCTCGTACAGCATTCGAGGAAACCAACGTCGTTCTGAACCGGGTATGTTTTTGCTTTTCCCCCGTCTGTCGAACACTGTAACTTATAGTAGATTAGTTGATTCGTGGATCTATTCAAGCAGGTTCACTTGCAGCCATCTTTGAGATGGGGAATCTTATCGCGTTCCGAGTCGCACCAAACAGTTTCGTCTATATGGTTTTCGCTATAGGACTGGGAAGGACTTTCTCGATCGTGAGTTTTATTGAATCTCATCTCTCCCTCGATACTAAGGGATGTCATATAGACTACTCTTGACGCCCTTCTCTGCCGCTCAACTTTGCAAGAGATGCTCAAAGGTC